CGGGGGGGGGGGGGGGGGGGTCCTATTTCAGTCTAAAAGCAAAAGAAAAACATCTATTTTACATCGATTTGTTTTTGCATTGTGACATTATTTTCATGACATTTCTGTACACCTTCCCCCTCGATTCTCATTACAGTAATGTAAAACATCTCATTACTATAATGCAAAAATATATGTTATTACTTAAACTATAAATGACTTATACACAATGTTAGTATTTTATTTTACAGCCTTTAATTGATACTGGTTTCACCAAAAAAAAAAAAACCCTCTTATATAGAATATTATTATAATAGAATTGTATAAATACAGATTCAAATAAATAAATAAATAAACCGTCATGAATAAAATGCCCAAAAACAGTACAGAAATGAGAATATATAGTGTCCCGATGTAAAAATTAAAATAATAATTAATAAAAATTTACATATAATAATAATAATAATAAACCCTATGATCGTCCTAAAAATAGACTACTGATTTCACACACACACACATATATATATATATATATATATATATATATATATATATATATATATATATATATATATATATATATATACACATACAGTAATGAGATTCACCAATGAGAATAATGGGAATTACTAAATTGATAAATAAATACATAAATGAATAAATAAACAAACAAACAAACCCTCATTAAATGCCCAGAAAACATTGCAGAAATAAGAATTCATAGTAAAAATACAATAAAACAAAAGCATAATCCTCCTAAAAAGAACTTCATTATATAGACTGTTATTGTTATAGTATTATTATATAAATATAGATTTTTGTATTACAGTAATGAGATTCACTTTTGAGAATGCTAATTACAAAATAACTAAATAAACCCAAATGGCTAAAAATGTTACAGAAATGTTCCTATTATGTTCCTGTGGCTCAGTGGTAGAGCATTGTGTTAGCAGCGCAAAAGGTCCTGTGTTCGATTTCCAGGGAACACACATACTGGTAAAAAATGTATAGCCTGAATGCACTTTGGATAAAAGCGTCTGCTAAATGCATAAATTAATTAATTGAATTAATGAATAATTAATTAATTCATAAAAAAATGAGAATACATAGTCACAATGTTTAAAAAATAAAAAATAAAAAAAATACTCGTCCTAAAAATAGACTTGATTGTCTTTATGATAAATTCCACTTATTTTTCCTTCTTTGACTCACTGTAAAACAATGCATTGTACTCATGCATATTTGTACACAGTGTTCCAGGTTTCAATGAAAATACACAACCCATTGTGTGCAGAGAAGTTCCCCGTACAACACAAAGGCATATTGAATGCCTCTGGTCCACATCTGGAATGGTAATGTTATTGGTAAGGAAGTCATTCTCGGTAATTCCAGCATTTGTAATTTTCAGTGTTTCGCCCATATTAGGTATGATGAGATCCACAGAGTCATGGCATTCCTGGGAACTTTTGAAACTAGGATAACATTCACGAAAAAAAGGCAACAGAAAAGAATAAATATGGATGTAGCAAACACTGCAAACTGAACGCGGATGACTGTGATATTAAACACACTTCACAGTGACTTCATACGCTCCCCTGAGCCAAAGGGGTTACAATTAGCATAGAAAAAAAACTAAAAACTCAATAGAACCTATTGAAGCAGCAAGATTTTTACCAAACATTTTGCATGAGGTTATATTTAGCAAAGTGATATATGTAATTGACCGTCCTCTGACAATAAAAGAGAGGAAAAACCCAGGAGAATTGATGGAAATAGCAGCGTATCACTCACATATAAGATCTCAAATTACAGAACATCTGCCATTTGAAACAAAGGCTCATCACAGACGACAAAGGTCTTCATGGAACATGGCAGGAGAATTGAATGGCCCCCATAATCATTAATCCCATCAAAGTGAAAAATGACTTATGTCTTTCTAGCCTCCTCTATTCAGATCTTGTCGGCACAGCCTACGGCAACCTTTGCCGTCTGAAACCTCCGAAACATTCGGCGTGTAAAAACTTGTGACAATTTAGCAATCCGCCTGGTTGTTTTGTGCAATCGCGGCAGTCACTGTAATTCAATTCCACCTTAAGTCTACCGTAAAATTAATCACGAGATCTGCCAGCAGCTGTCTAATGTATTTTACGTTATGCAGAGAACGATATTAAGCAGGAGAGCGTTATTTAAGTTTTAATATTGGATTTTTATCTTGGTATAATCACGCCGTGGGTGGAGGTTTGTGGGAGAATATGAGCGGAACTGTGATATTTTCAGAAATACAGTTCCGATACATAGTCTGTTATTCATTTCTGTGCTTTTTAAGATGTTTTATTAATGCTCTCTGCGATATTCCTGCCCTCAAGCCTTGAATGTTATTCTTGTGGGAACTGGCTCAAGTGAATAACATTTTTTCTTTCTCTTTTGCTCTCTCTGTTGGTAGTAATCAGCATGTTGTTTCTTATAAACAGGCTGTGGTTATATAAGGCAACTGAGAAGGCTTGTTATTTGCTCAAGGGTGTATACCTGCAGTTTTGCTAACATCTCCTGGGTCATTTCCCCCAGCGCCTCTCGAACATCTTCCACACTGAAGCCCATGTGATTCCCGGGACTTTCTTCCAGTTCAGCTTTACCAAGTTCTTCCACATTCTCCTCGAGAGACTCCTGCGCGGTCTAGGGTCATTTAAAGGAAAAGTTCAGACAAAAATAAAAATTGTGTCATTATTTATTCACCTTCATATAATTTCAAACGTTATTTCATTCACAGAAAAAACAATGGACACAGTTTTGTTTTTTGTTTTTACATATTGTCATATTTGTATGGAAAAGTGCCATATACAGATTCTTAATATTCTCCTTTTGAGGGTGAAGAAAAATTAAATTACTTTTTAGTTTTGGCTGTGTGTGTGTGTGAGTGTGTGTGTATATATATATATATATATATATATATATATACTCAGTCTTTCTACTTCAAAAATTCACATTTAATTGAATGTGCTGCTTGCCATTTCTTAGTAATTATTTGTAAATTTACTGAGAATTTCTGAGTAAAAATACAGAACTAATGCGTAATGCATAATCAAAATATGTAAAACCTATTTTTGGAGTCTAGGCTTTGACCTTATTTTAAAATACTGTATATGGCATAGCACGTGTCATTAAATACAAGCCTGTTAAATATTCACATTAAAAGCAAAGTTTGCTCTGACGTGATTTATTTTTCTTAGCTTTTAATGTAACATTGCATCAAAGAACTAATAGGGAATTTTACTGAGCATTCATGTGGGAAGGCAGAACTGAATATCTTGTGTGAGAAAACTCATATAAAAATAAAAATAAATAAACTTCATAAAAACATAAGTAGTGGCACAGCGCCTACATGTGGCCTTTTTCAGAACAGCACACACTCCTGGATATGACACAATGAGATTCTGCAGCAGACAGGGTTCCCACGCCTTTTGACCAATGCATCTTCATGTATTTTCCAAGGTTATGGATTTTAAAAAATCATTTTATATAGATTGCACATGCAAAAAGCAATTCTAGCTTAAAATATTCTAAAATATGCAATGCAGAGTTTGAAACCAATTTACTGCAGCAATCTGACACATGTCCAATTAAAACAGGATATTTAATAAGATAACATGTTGGATGGAACTTGATTTTTAAATCAGGGATTGACTGAATCATGAAAATTGGGCATTACGTATTGGATGGGAGAGCGATTTGAGATGTTAATGGAAAAGGAAAGTCATTTCAGAGTTATATTTAAGATGTTTTTACATTTTGATGAAATATTACTTTTTTTTTTTTAACTTTGCACTAATGAACTGTGCCCAACAGGGTAAGTTTTGATCTTCTTTTGACTTTAATGCTGGGAAACTAGAGAAATGTATATTGACATGACTTTTTTCCAGTCCTGAAAATGTTTCAAGATTTGGGTAAATGTGTGGGAAAGTTGAATAGATACATCTCCTTAAAGGTTAAGTGTGTGGACATTTTTATATACAGTAGATACATTTTTGTCTGTATTCAATAAATTATTAAAAATACATTAATACAGAAATAGTTGCAAAAAAAGAAAATTCTCTGAGGGACTGAAAAAAACCCTCCATAAAGATAGAAATTGTGCTGTGATATAATCCTTCTGTTATAATATACGATTCCCTCTGCTCAGTACAGTCTATGTTCTCCAGCTGTACAGCGCAGCGTCTGTTAAGGAAAAGTGTTAGTCATACTTGGAAGCAGATTTGTGTTTCCTCTGAAAATGAGAAACATGTGAAACGCATCTTTTCTGGAAGGGTAATTCCAAGCAAAGACTGAAACCAAAATGAATACAACAGTTTACTGCGAGCCAAACATGAGCCATTATTACAGCAAGGACTGGGCTGGAAGGAAAAGGAAACACTTTACCTGCTCAGGCGTTGGGACACGTGGGGGAGCCATGTAATGGAAGTACAGATCAGCGGGCATGCCTTCTTCCAGCGGTGCAGCAAACTCAGCGGGGTTGATCACCTCAATGCATTTCTGAAACAAAAGACCCAACCTTTTAAAAATCATTAAAAATCTCATTGAAGATGATTTCCTGCAACATTAAGTAGGAGGTTGACGGCTCATTATTTCAAAATAAAACCAACAGGTGCCTGACAGGAAGCAGAGTAGATCTGCAACAACTTATCGCTAAAATCAACAATGAATTTGATTAATCACGATATTGAAAATATTAGTCAGTCACGTCATTTCATTATAGAGAGTGGTTATAGTAGTTATAGTGACTAACGCATTTCTATGGACAAAACGCATTTGGAAAACAGTGGAGGATACAGAGTTGAGCAGGAAAAGTTGATCACCAAAGTTGTCCTAAGCAAGAATTTCATTGAACGAGCACCGCTGTGCGCATTTGACGAAGCCCAATAGAACAAGAGCACTTTTCTTGATAGACATTATATGTAAGTTTAAAATTCTCTATGTAACACAAGTAATTGGATTTTTTATGAGAGCAGTAACAGTGACTAACATAATGAAGTATAAATGTAATATGTTCACATAAGGGAATGTGTTCCTCCTACCTCATACCAGTTAACATTTAGTCTGAGCTATTTTCATTATTATTATTTTTTAATTTAGTGAATTTAACTTTCTAATGGTAAGCAATCAGTTAAAATGTTAACCCCTTTTTGCACATGTTTATTTGCAAAGATACATTCACTATATTTGTTTGCATTGCCATCAAATTGCACATTGTTTGGAAGACAACATTGGGCAGGACGTGGAATAACAATTTTGCAAGTAACTGATTATAATTATTTATTTTTTTATTAAAATGATCATTTCTTATTAATCAGTTTTTTCATGGATTTTAGTTTTTTTCAGGAATTGTAATTAATCTAATTAATTGATTAATGAAATAATTAATCATCAAATTGATTATCAAAATAATTGTTAGATGCAGCTAGTGTTGGGTAAGTTACTTTAAAAAAGTAATTAATTAGATTACTCTACTGTACTTTCTCTTAAAAGTATTGCATTACTTATTACTAATTAATTTCTAAATCCCATATCAACCTCCAGTTGAACAATACAATGATAGACATTTATTTAAATAAATAATATAAAATTGTATAAATTATTCTTGACAGGTATTACAAGTACAAGTATTTACAGGGAGAAGGTTACATTAAAGGGGTCATATGATGCTATTTTAAAGATCATTATTTTGTGTATTTGGTGTAACAGAATATGTTGACATGCTTTAATGTTCAAAAACACATTATTTTTCAAATACTGTACATTATTGTAGGTCCTCTATGCCCCGCCTCTCTCAAACATGTCGTTTTCAACAAAGCCCCCTCCTTTGACAAGCGCAGTCTGCTCTGATTGGCCAGTTGACCCAGTGCATTGTGATTGGCCGAACACCACAAGCACGCGTCGGAAATGTAACGCCCCTTACCATAATCGTGAGCTTCAGCTTTCAAAGTAAATATCAAGACAGTTAATAATGTGGTTAGTTTTACCATCAGTTCAAGCCCGAAAGGGCAACAGAGTCACGTGACAGATACAGTGATGATGCAGTACACAAGCCACAGTTAAGACAGCTGACGTGCTATGATTTCTGACAGACAGTTCACTCTCCTGTGATGTGATCCGGTTCCCCTCATATGGGGGCGTGTTAGAACGAGCTGTTTTAGGTAGGCGTGGTTGACTCTGAACTTTTATAAAGAATATCTCTTTGGATTTGAGACTTTAGTCTTTGCAACTTTACAGATCTTCTTTATGCACCAAGAGCTTGTAACTGTCACGAATTCGGTCCATGGACTTCCGTTTATTCATCACCAGTGGTCACCCTTTCCATTACATTGACTCTCGCACAACACAAACTGTTGCATAGCACCCTGGACTACATATCCCATCATTCATTGCACTGATTGCACTCAGCACGGATTGCACACAGCTGTTTTCACTGATTGCACACAGCTGTTTCACATCACTCACTCACTATATATCACTCACTCAAACTACCATTCACTGCCGAGTATTACTTCGCCTGTTAGTTTTCCTAGTTCCTGTTATCCTTCCCGTGTTTCCTTGTTTTGCCTTGCCTTGTCAGTTTTCTCGGTTCTGATCTTTGCCTGTCTCCCTGGATTTATCCCTCTAGTCTCGCCCCTGTGATTCTGTCTGCCGATCGTCGACCTACGCTAGCCCTAGGACCATTCTTGTGTTTTGCCCGCCATATACCTGTCTGCCATTATCTGACCCATGCCTGTTTTATGACCACGTCTCTGTCTTCTCCTAATAAAGAGCTTGCATTTGGATCCGCACGTCTCACGTCTTGTCAGCCCCGTTACAGAAACACTCCAAAGAGAAAGGAAAACTTGAAATCGCATCATATGCCCCCCTTTAAAAACATACATTTTAACATTTGATGGTAAATCCACTATTGTTTTATTTAGAACTGTTCTAAATTAAACACTATTTAATGTAATTACGTCAGAAGTTTCTGTAAGTAAGTTACAGAAAAAAAAGAGTAATCCCTTACTTAACTTTTTCAAAGAAAAAGTAATTAAATTACAGTAATTAATTACTTGGTAATGCATTACACCCAACACTGGTTGCAGCCCTAAAGCAGGGTGTTCTTGTTACAGCTTATTTTAAGATGATTGGTCGACTATACAAAATACATTTTAAAACTTTTTTTAGAGCCTATGAGATATCTAGGTAAAATTATAAAAATATATTTTCAACTTTAATTACTTATTAATTTATTTGGTGAGTAGTCTTGTAATGGTGGCATAGTGTACAGTTTGGTGGTTATTATGTAAAAAATAAAAAAGTATTTCAGAGGGCACAGCAATTTTTTGTCTTAATTTTGTGTGGTGTATCTGAAGATTTAGGCCTGCATTAACAGATAAAATTTTCTCTGGCTGGAACATTTTACTGTTCATTTGGCAGAAGGCCCTTCACCCAGAACCCAAAACTAGTACACTAACAAAAACAAAGAGTCTTGTGGTTTGTATACCAAACATAATTACAATGGCAAATTGAAGCAGGGGAGTAGAACAATGCTCTTTCATTACTACATTGTTTCCCATTATTCCCAATGACATGATTCGTGCATGTTCCATCTCAAGCAATAAACAAATTAACGTCAAAAGTATAATTTAATAGGAGTAAAAATAGAACGCCTGCTGCAATTCATTGTCCTGTTTTGCTTTTGTGTGATTCGTAAAACATCTTGAATCAATAAACTGGTTCCAATTCACGAGAAAAAACAAGTACATTAATATTCAAAATGTGCTTTGAAGTCCCTTTCAAAACAAATAAAAAATGGTTCTGTTACATGGTGTGCGGTGCCATTGTATCAGTGACCTAGATTTTGTTTTTGATCTGTAAGATGCTCAACTGCAGTTCTCATTATTTGTATGCTACAGCATAAAGCACCATTCAGACGCCAAACAAATATGTGCCTTGATGTTTGATGTAATCAGGACATCCAATTTTACAGATCTCAGATATACAGATGTACACTGCATGCAGAAATATTGGTGTATGTGGTATGAAGTGATTGGTTATATTCCTCTGACTTGACATTTCGAAAGTGTACTCAGATCACAATCATTACATGTTAATTATGGATGAGCAAATCTGATGGGAGGCAGATTTTCCACTCAAGCTGAAATTCAGAGAACATGTGAATAATAAGTGTTTCCCGCAATGGAGGATAACAGTATGGAGGTGACATGAATGGACATGAACAGTGCTGAGGAAATCATTGGGAAATTGATGTGAAGTTTTGTAGAAAAGCACAAGAAAAACACAAAGCATTAACATCATTTCATAACACTGGGAGTAAACCTTTGAAGCTACATGAATTACTTTTACAATGCCTTTCCCTATTGGAGTTTTGGTTGAAATTACTTTCAGTCGAAGAACAGAAATCAGAGTACATTTATTTATTTATTTAAATTTTTATGTATTCTTTATATATGTAATCCGAAAACAATGATTCACAGTCATAAAACTGAAAGCCATTCAACAATTCAGAACTTAGATTGAATAATAATTATATTTAAATTTAAGCAGTGATTTCGTCATTTATTTTGTTTTGGCTAGTAGATGTTCTGAATGGCCAATAACTTGGTAGCCAAATTTGTTGCAGAGTGAAAATGTATATATATTTCAATCATGACAACTCTCGGAAGATTTTAGCATGGTGATGGATATGACAATGTAAATGTATTTGATCTTGGCGGATGATCTTTGCCTGTCTCCCTGGATTTATCCCTCTAGTCTCGCCCCTGTGATTCTGTCTGCCGATCGTCGACCTACGCTAGCCCTAGGACCATTCTTGTGTTTTGCCCGCCATATACCTGTCTGCCATTATCTGACCCATGCCTGTTTTATGACCACGTCTCTGTCTTCTCCTAATAAAGAGCTTGCATTTGGATCCGCACGTCTCACGTCTTGTCAGCCCCGTTACAGAAACACTCCAAAGAGAAAGGAAAACTTGAAATCGCATCATATGCCCCCCTTTAAAAACATACATTTTAACATTTGATGGTAAATCCACTATTGTTTTATTTAGAACTGTTCTAAATTAAACACTATTTAATGTAATTACGTCAGAAGTTTCTGTAAGTAAGTTACAGAAAAAAAAGAGTAATCCCTTACTTAACTTTTTCAAAGAAAAAGTAATTAAATTACAGTAATTAATTACTTGGTAATGCATTACACCCAACACTGGTTGCAGCCCTAAAGCAGGGTGTTCTTGTTACAGCTTATTTTAAGATGATTGGTCGACTATACAAAATACATTTTAAAACTTTTTTTAGAGCCTATGAGATATCTAGGTAAAATTATAAAAATATATTTTCAACTTTAATTACTTATTAATTTATTTGGTGAGTAGTCTTGTAATGGTGGCATAGTGTACAGTTTGGTGGTTATTATGTAAAAAATAAAAAAGTATTTCAGAGGGCACAGCAATTTTTTGTCTTAATTTTGTGTGGTGTATCTGAAGATTTAGGCCTGCATTAACAGATAAAATTTTCTCTGGCTGGAACATTTTACTGTTCATTTGGCAGAAGGCCCTTCACCCAGAACCCAAAACTAGTACACTAACAAAAACAAAGAGTCTTGTGGTTTGTATACCAAACATAATTACAATGGCAAATTGAAGCAGGGGAGTAGAACAATGCTCTTTCATTACTACATTGTTTCCCATTATTCCCAATGACATGATTCGTGCATGTTCCATCTCAAGCAATAAACAAATTAACGTCAAAAGTATAATTTAATAGGAGTAAAAATAGAACGCCTGCTGCAATTCATTGTCCTGTTTTGCTTTTGTGTGATTCGTAAAACATCTTGAATCAATAAACTGGTTCCAATTCACGAGAAAAAACAAGTACATTAATATTCAAAATGTGCTTTGAAGTCCCTTTCAAAACAAATAAAAAATGGTTCTGTTACATGGTGTGCGGTGCCATTGTATCAGTGACCTAGATTTTGTTTTTGATCACTGTTCACTGTAAGATGCTCAACTGCAGTTCTCATTATTTGTATGCTACAGCATAAAGCACCATTCAGACGCCAAACAAATATGTGCCTTGATGTTTGATGTAATCAGGACATCCAATTTTACAGATCTCAGATATACAGATGTACACTGCATGCAGAAATATTGGTGTATGTGGTATGAAGTGATTGGTTATATTCCTCTGGCTTGACATTTCGAAAGTGTACTCAGATCACAATCATTACATGTTAATTATGGATGAGCAAATCTGATGGGAGGCAGATTTTCCACTCAAGCTGAAATTCAGAGAACATGTGAATAATAAGTGTTTCCCGCAATGGAGGATAACAGTATGGAGGTGACATGAATGGACATGAACAGTGCTGAGGAAATCATTGGGAAATTGATGTGAAGTTTTGTAGAAAAGCACAAGAAAAACACAAAGCATTAACATCATTTCATAACACTGGGAGTAAACCTTTGAAGCTACATGAATTACTTTTACAATGCCTTTCCCTATTGGAGTTTTGGTTGAAATGACTTTCAGTCGAAGAACAGAAATCAGAGTACATTTATTTATTTATTTACATTTTTATGTATTCTTTATATATGTAATCCGAAAACAATGATTCACAGTCATAAAACTGAAAGCCATTCAACAATTCAGAACTTCGATTGAATAATAATTATATTTAAATTTAAGCAGTGATTTCGTCATTTATTTTGTTTTGGCTAGTAGATGTTCTGAATGGCCAATAACTTGGTAGCCAAATTTGTTGCAGAGTGAAAATGTATATATATTTCAATCATGACAACTCTCGGAAGATTTTAGCATGGTGATGGATATGACAATGTAAATGTATTTGATCTTGGCGGAATAGATCTGCTACGCTGCTGCTGCTGCTGAATTGCTGCTGCTGTTGGTTATTGCTGTAGTTGTAGATTATTGCTGCTGCTGCAAGCAAGTACAGGAACTTGCTACTGCCAATGCATATGGCGATACGGTGCCGTGAGTATTTAAGACATACTGCTGCTGCACAAATAGCATATAAAATAACCCATAGCAGATCTATACAGGTGGAGCTGGGGAAGGTGGTGGGTTTCAGAGATCTCTGGTGAATGCTAGCCAGCCATATAAATGCAAAGCAGTAAGCTCATTGGCTACAAATGCAGCATGAACCAATCAGCTTGTGCCAAGTCGTTTAACTCTCTGAATATCATCAGTTATGTTAAGAAACTATCAGCCTGCGCCATCTAGAGTTTGATGACTCATTTTTTTAATATCCTTTTAAGTGTAGTAGGCCTACAACTGTATTAAGCCAAATCATTTGCTATGCTTTGCTGGAGTATGTCATAATAGATAGTGTTCAGAAAGTTGCAAACTTACTCAATAGTAACTGAGAAAAAAACTAATTAACAAGTTTTCCCCCCCTATTTTATCTCATCTAAAAACTATTTTTTTCAGTGTATAGCTATAGTACAGGTAACTGTTTTGGAGTTGATGAAAAGTGCACAGTTGACTGATTATGAATGCAACATTTATACTGTGGAATGTAAAAACAATTTGCCAAGCTCTGAAAAACATGACTGAACTAGTGATTTAGACTAAACAATGCACACAAATATGCTGATTTCACATCACCGTTTTCTCGATGCAACTTTTAGGCAACAGGCAAACAAAATTACAGAAGCTCCAAAAATTACAGAAAGTATAATTAAATTATAGTAGTCCATAAAACTTGTGAAATATTTCAAGCTTTGTGTTAGAAGCAAATTAAATTTAAGTTTAGATTTACACATTTAGCAGACACTTCTATCCAAAGTGACTTAAAACAGAGCAATAGTTGTTATTTACTAATTATTGAAAATTTAACAACATGAGAGTGAGTAAATGATGACAATTTCATTATTGAAAATGTTGATTTTACATATTAAATCTGAATCTTACCTCTATTTTCAGGAGTTGCTCCTCTCTTCTATGATTGAACAATAATTCATATAGTCTGTAGTGCTGGAAAAGACTGTTTATACACATGAACAATACATGAGAACCTGTAATACTGTCACAGTTGTTAACAATATTGAAGCTTTTTTTTTCTTAGGCTATAAACAAATTACACCATGTCACCAATAAGCTTCCAAGCTTTCAGTTTTTATTTAAAAACATTTTCCTTGAAAGTTTGAGTTAGAATAGTTTGTAAGACTGTGATTATGAACACAATGAGGCTGTAAAAGCAGACTAGTGAGTCGATGAATTATTCAGTTTGATGACGTTTCTGACAACCTCTGTAGTCCCATATAGCCACTTGTCGAAACAAGAAAAAGCTTAAAAAAAATCAAATGGGGGTACTACTGATGCATTTTATGTTGTAGAATAAAACCTGACAATATCATGAGCTTGTGCTAACAGTAAACCACATTTCAAACATTTAACCAAAAACCCATTGACTTCAGGACGACACAAAAGTGCTAAATTGCTCATTTCTGGGTTTTGGTCTACAAAAATATGTAATTCTTGTTACACTCTATTCAAACCCTTGATGTGCCAGCAGTTTGTAAGGGTGTAATTATGGTCAATGTTGAGATGTTTAGTTATAATCCCAATTTATGTTTCTATGATTTGTGTCTCAAATGGTAATACTGCATTAAAAGTAATGTGGTGTCCCATGAATAATACCTCTTTTAAAACAGACAAAACATTTATATATATTTTTAAATGAACATGCTCAGTAAAGGAGACTGAAGACAAATTAAGCTCAAGCACTAACAAGCAGTCTGAATTTAGGTCTGATGAAGGATGCATTACTGAGGCTTTCAGGTAAGCAGAGAAATCAATCGTGCTCAGATATAATACACATACTGTGTGTCATTTTTCAGCACTGTGCATCAGTGTTTTTTCCCTTTGCTTTCTAAAAGACGGATGATTTCCATGCAGCTTGTTATATGCCACTGTAGTCTGCATGCCTCACATTCCGTTGCAGTATGAATTATGCATAACATTAATTATGAAGGCCATAAAAGAATTCCAGTATGCTTGTCGCTGGCTGTCTAATAGCAACCTGTGTGACGGGTTGAAAATGACCTTATCCATATTCAACAATTAAACACATGCACTTGAGCATAATCATAGGTATTTAGGAGGAATGTAATTAAAGGACGGATGTGACATGGTGAGACATACCTGGTCTTGAAGTAATCTGTGATGGCTTTGATTTGATCGGTGGTGAATAAAAAACTGGCTTTACTGGCAAGTACTGTTTGGATAAATGTCTTGAAATTATCAGCAAATGATGACCGTTTGTCTGAAATAAAATGCAACAGGCATTGTGTTTTTTATTTCACTAAAAAAATACGTAAATCTGTACTATGCTTCACGAATTGATAATTAGTGTTAGGATAAATGGATTTTTAAAATACAGTTGACCTAAAGTAACAACCATGGTTGAATTTCAAACTAAACAAAAACTTGATTTCAGAGAACACCACTTACTTTTTATGTTGTCAAGTAGTTGCTGTAAAAGTGCCATGATAAATGAGATTTGCTGAGAATTGAAGTTCATCTCTTTGGCCCACCAAAATCCATTGACAAAATACTCCAACAGCGCAGCTTCTTTCACACATGTTTGGTGGTTTTTGATATTCAGTATATCCTCAAACTGTCTTAAAATGCAAGACATACAATATATCATAAATCCAGATACGTAAAATATCATATATGTAAATTAGATACAAAAAAGGTGAATTATTTAATAATGAGAGTAGCTGACAAATATTGACACTGTTGTAGCTCAAAAGAACTGCGTGTGCATATGATGAACAATTTTAAAGAAACTATTTTTAGTAAACTTACAGCTGCACTTGGTCCACAGGCAGGCTGAGCAGAATATTTATTTGGTCTTGCTTTAGAAGTTCCCACTGAGGAAAAGATGTCTCCACTTCCTAGAATATGAGATAATACTATTACTAGAAAATACACATTCATGAATTTAATTATAATTAAAAAATAAACCTTACCCTTATTGCACGTCTGAAATTAACCATGGTGTGAGTTATCTGAGAGTTTCATGATATTTTATTATATTTCATTTTCACAATATTTTACAGTATATCTACAGCAGTTATGTTTGTAGCTTTGCAGACACTGTCTCGGAACTGAGTGTTGTTGAAAATCAGTTGTAAAAACATTCTTAACACACATAAATCATATTTATGATCATAGAAATCATAGAAATCAGAAAACACAACGACAAATCAGACAAACCGGAAGAGGTAGGTATAGTTTGAGACAGCGCCATTGGTTTGGGATTACTCACCGCTGACTGGACGAGACATCTGTCAATCAACGTATACAGGGAAGAACCAGCCGAAGAACAGTAGAGTCGTGGTAGAAAGTTCGGAGATGGTATTAAAGTAGCTCAGTTTAAATGTATTGTATGAATTGCCCTTACTATGGAATAAAAAATATATGTATATTTACATTTAGTTAAAAGTGGCTGCAAAACATCAGCTCTAGTGGCGCAGATGGATAAGTGCTTGTTGTTGGCCCGGGTTCGAGCCCGCCTTTTGCCGAACGTTTTTTTTCTCCCTTTTCAAATCTCGTATCGCATCGTAAAGGCATTTATTTTCAATAAAAATTAAGGAAATAATCAAAAAGTTGAAAATAAAGTATCGGGTAGGGTTAGGGTAGGTGTAGGGAGGGCTTTATTGTACCAATAAGGTGGCATCCATTTAATAATTAAAATTATTATTTACACTCAATAAGTTATTATTGCATACTGTTTTATAATGTACTACAATACTGAAGTGCAGATAATTGCCACTATTTGCAACAAGTAGTATACTTGATAGTAGAAATCCTGCTATTTTAACATTAGTGTAAATAGCATATTGCTAAAAATACTGCTATTTTCACTTCGTGTAAATAGAATCCATTGCTAATACGAGATTTGTTCGGCAAAAAAAAGTTCGGCAAAAGACGGGATCGAACCCGGGTCGATCGCGTCAAAAAGCCAATGACACACGCTTATCCATCTGCGCCACTGGAGCTTATGGCTTACAGCCACTTTTAACTAAATCTAAATAGACACCCCGTATTTTTTATTCCATAGTAAGGGCAATTCATACAATACATTTAAACTAAGCTACTTTAATACCATTCTCCGAACTTTCTACCACGACTCTGCTGTTCTTCGGCTGGTTCTTCCCTGTATACGTTGACAGATGTCTCGTCCAGTCAGTGGCGCTGTCTCAAACTATACCTACCTCTTCCGGTTTGTCTGATTTGTCGTTGTGTTTTCTGACTTGTTATAATGTTTTCTGAATTGTTGTTGTGTTTTCTGAATTGTTGTTGTGTTTTCTGAATTGTTGTTGTGTTTTCTGAATTGTTGTTGTGTTTTCTGAATTGTTGTTGTGTTTTCTGAATTGTTATTTTGTTTTCAGAATTGTGATTTGTTTTGCACTTCTCTGCCACCGTACCTACCATTACCATCATACCACCACATAATGGTCATAAGGGAAAATATTTCATGTCTGACACTTCATTACAGATTATATTAGCCTATATACAGTATACAGTTAAATTAATCAAAGTTTAATTACATTTTTAGACATTGGTATACAACTTAAAATGTTTGTAAATGTTATTAATACACGTTTTCTTCTGTGTAGATCAGCACGGATCTGTGTAACGTTACGCTATTAGCTACCTCACTTTATTATAGATCTACAGCAATCGTCTAAACGCCAAGTGAATGACTGAATTCATAGGCATGTGGTTTACATACACTGAGCCCAGTATCATCTTTATCGGTTTCTTCTCCCCTCTTGATCTTCTCTGAGTTTTCAGCGGATCGGACTCCCTCTCGTGATCTCTCTCTTCCAGACATGTTGTTGTCTGTATACTGTTGCCCTGGAAACCACAGTGGGTGCTACAAATACAACTCATTATATACACTATGAACACCTTACCTCGGTGGCCTCATAGCTGGTTACGGGCCTGGGTATAGCCTATTTCATTCGATTAAAACTGATTTTTGTTGCACGATCAGTCAATGCAGTGTTGCCAAGTCCCGCGGAATTGGGCTAACGTTACTTTAACACTGTTGCCGCGAGTTGTTTTTCATATCCGCGGGCTGAGGGGCCCCAACATCGTGATTAAAACTCGAAACGCGATTGGGCTAGTTTTGAGTTGCAATTGGGAGGGTTTTGTCAATAGCTATTGTGTTCATGGTGGTGAAATAAATTTGTAAGTTATGTTTATATTCGTGATCATGATTTCACTGTGTTAATCAAATACATTTTGAAGAACCGATTCCCTAACCCATTGCGAGTTTTATAATTATTGCGAGTTTATAAAAGTCAGAAATTGAATTGCTTTCAATTCAATTTCAGTTTATATCTCGCAATTCTGATGTAAACTCGCAATGGTAAGAAAAAAAGTCACGACAGCCCAGCTCGAACTCTCATTTCGATTAGAATCAAAACTCACATATACATATTTTTTATTTGTATTTCACAATCCGAAATAAATGTAACTGGATGTTTTCTAAAGTGTTAGGGACCGGGGGAAACTACGGTGGCAGAGAAGTGCAAAGCAAATCACAATTCTGAAAACAAAATAACAAATTAAAAACGCAAATGCAAGTCTAAAAAACTGTATAACAAGTCAGAAAACACAATGACAAATTCGAAAACAAAATAACAAGTCAGAAAACACAACGGCAAATCCAAAAACAAATGAACAAATCAGACAAACCGGAAAAGGTAGGTATAGTTTGAGAGAGCTCCATTGGTTTGGGATTACTCACCGCTGACTGGACGAGACATCTGTCAATCAACGTATACAGGGAAGAACCAGCCGAAGAACAGTAGAGTCGTGGTAGAAAGTTCGGAGATGGTATTAAAGTAGCTCAGTTTAAATGTATTGTATGAATTGCCCTTACTATGGAATAAAAAATACGGAGTGTATATTTACATTTAGTTAAAAGTGGCTGTTAAACATCGGCTCCAGTGGCGCAGATGGATAAGCGCTTGTCATTGGCTTTTTGACGCAATCGACCGGGTTCGTTCATACAATACATTTAAACTGAGCTACTTTAAAGGTGTAATAGGTGATTGTCTTCAGAAACATTTTTTGTTATGCTGGTTGAAAGTCTCTTCACATCCCGATAGCAATCATTAAGTTAAGTGGTCTAAATGTATTTATCTGTATTTATATATTCTGTGGAAGGCGTAGGACCAAGAAATGTTCGTCCAATCAAAACGCCTAGTCCGAGCGTTTTAATGGGCTTTCCTAACTGCCTGTCAACATATGTATTTGCATACCTCTGCGCACCCTGTTAGCGCAGACATGGCCTCCTGCATGAAAAATATAATTTGTCAAAACGCATTATGCAATGTGAATGCAGACTAATGTACAGTGGGGAAAATATTTATTTGATCCCCTGCTGATTTTGTAAGTTTGCCCACTTACAAAAAAATTAAGGGTCTGTAATTTTTATGGAAGGTTTATTTTAACATATAACGACAGAATTCCAACCAAAAAATCCAGAAAAAGCACATTATATAAAGGTTAGAAATTGATTTGCATTTCAGTGAGTGAAATAAGTATTTGATCTCCAAGCAAAACATGACTTAGTACTTGGTGCAGAAACCCTTGTTGGCAAGCACAGAGGTAAGACGTTTTTTTGTAGTTGGTCACCAGGTTTGCACACATCTCAGGAGGGATTTTGATCCACTCCTCTTTACAGATTCTCTCTAAATCCTTAAGGTTTCTTGACTGTTGTTTGGCAACTCGAAGTTTCAGCTCCCTCCACAGATTTTCTATAGGATTGAGGTCTGAAGACTGGCTAGGCCACTCCGTGAACTTAATGTGCTTCTTCTTCTTGAGCCACTCCTTTGTTGCCTTGGCGGTATGTTTCGGGGTCATTGTCATGCTGGAAGACCCATCTATGATCTTCAGTGTTCTGGCTGAGGGAAGGAGGTTCTTGTCCAAGATTTTACAGTACATTTCTCTCCCTCCAAACACGGCGAGTCGAGTTAATGCCAAAGAGCTCAATTTTGGTCTCATCTGACCACAGTACTTTCTCCCAAGCCTTCTCTGAATCATTTTGATGTTCTTTGGCAAACTTTAAATGTACATGTGCCTTCTTGAGCAGTGGGACCTTGCGGGGGCACTGCAGGATTTTAGTCCATTGCGGCGTAGTGTGTTACCAATGGTTTGCTTGGTGACTGTGGTCCCAACTGCCTTAAGATCATTAACAAGCTCCTCCCATGTAGTTCGGGGCTGATCCTTCACCTTTCTCATGATCATCCTTACCCCATGAGGCGAGATCTTGCACGGAGCACCAGGCCGAGGCCGATTGATGGTTGTTTTGTATTTCTTCCATTTCCGAATAATCGTACCAACAGTTGTCTCCTTCTCACCAAGCTTCTTGCTGATGGTCTTGTAGCCCATTCAAGCCTTGTGCAGATCTACAATCTTGTTTCTGACATCCTTTGACAGCTCTTTGGTCTTGCTCTTGTGGTGGGAGAGGTTGGAATGGAAGATACAGATTGTGTGGACAGGTGTCTTTTATACACCTAACAAGCTGACATTAGGAGTAACTTCTTAAAGTGACAAGACTAATCTGTGTTCCACATGGGCACATAACCATAATCTGTGGGAGCCAGAATTCTTGCTGGTTGGTAGGGGATCAAATACTTATTTCACTCACTGAAATGCAAACCAATTTCTAACCTTTATATAATGTGGGGTTTTTTTCTGGATTTTTTGGTTGGTATTCTGTCTCTATCCATTAAAATAAACCTACCATAAAAATGACAGACCCTTCATTTCTTTGTAAGTGGGCAAACTTACAAAATCAGTAGGAGATCAAATAAATATTTCCCCCACTGTAGTAATTGAAAAATACTTGAATTTTCATATCAAATTATTTTTGAAATGCAGTTGAAATGAATTGCAAAAGTAATGACTGGTAAATCTTGCAGTTCTTACGCTGTGCATTGCTATTGTTGTTGTGGTGAAAAGTTATTAGTTTTGCAGCACTGCAATAGTTATTTCATACATATATGGTTTCACTCGGATATATGTCACAATAGAGAAGAAAAGACTATTGCAACTTCCGTTTCATGCCAACTTTAAGCGATTCAGGTTCGACTCTTTCTTTTGAGAGACACTAACTTTTTTTATGATGCACTTTCAGCTTTACAACTTTAACTGTTTACATTCACATACAGCTACATTACACACTGCATGAAAGGTCGTTTTCAAAAATCCATAATAGGGGTACTTTGGTGGTGTATGTATTAGATCAGTGTTTTTCTGTAATATCCATAATTCATGATGTGAAATATTACAACTTTCAGAATACATTCTTTCCCCTAACAGTTGAGAATGACTTGTACTACTGTCTTCAACCCCAGAGCTTAATACATCCATCAGGCTTAACAGTTCTTTTTTTCCCCCTCATGCTTTTCTGTATTCTTCAAACATACCTTCGGTGACTGTGGCCAAAGAGTTCAGTTTCTTACTTCATCAGAACACAACACTTGGTCTAAGTGTGGTGTTGAATTGTGATACAGCCGTTTATGCTGAGGTTGCAGGTAAGGTTTCCTCCTTCCATTCAGATCATGTTTGTGCACATTGACCCCTGTAGAAGCTCAATATTCCCACAAGTTCTTTAATATGCTCAATTCTGTATTAGATGTATTTAATATGCTTAATTCAGTAATATGCTTTGTCCCGTATTCCTAACTACTATGAGCAGTTCTATCAGTCAGCATTGACCCATTGAGGTTTTTTAAATTCTATTTTTAGTCACCCTTTGATCATTTTTGTGATGGTTTTTAACTTCATATAACTGCCTATGCATTAAGTTTCTTACTAGAACAAAAGTATTATTTGTATTTTTGATCAATTAAATTCAGCCTTAGTGAACATGAGACACTTTATGCTTTTATGTACTCTAGACCAAGCTCAAAGCACAAAACACACAATGAAAATACATCACTGTGCCCTTTGAGGGCAGAGCATGTTTAAACAATAAAAGTGTATGTCAAATGATCATTTTATTAATTTGATATCATAAGGAGGAAAGGATAGGATCCTTTAGTTGGGATACTGAATCAGGAAGAAGCTAAATTGCAGACTTGCTTATGTTGACCTCATGCCAAGAAATGACTGCAAATCTTGACAAAGAGATATATAAGCTGATTGGTGCTTTCCTCTTTAAACTGAATTGCCAGAGGAATGCAAGTTAGATAAAGATTGTCATAATCATAGCTCACATAGCTGAGCTAGAGAGCGGTGATCTGTGGATGCATGTGTTCATCTATTTATTCTATCCTCTCCTGCCAGGCTAATTGGATGAGAGGAAGTGATGCGTGATAACTTAATTAATTTCCTTCCCTCACACATTTGTTGTCATTATTTTCTTATTTTGTTCTTTCTGACTGCATGAAAGCTTTTCTATTTTTTAATTTTGAATAAAGACGTGTAACACAAAAATGGCATGTACGAAAGTTAAGACTTAACATTAGTTTATATGATATTTCTTGATTATCAACTAAGCTTTGTTATATTTTTGCTATTTTAAATGTGATTTTATATAAGCATTTGATCACTTGTTATTTGTGCTTCTAACCTCAGATATCCACCAGAGGGCATCATGTGATCAACAGGAAGAACAACAAAACTACATGTCAAATGATCATTTTATTAATTTGATATCATAAGGAGGAAAGGATAGGATCCTTTAGTTGGGATACTGAATCAGGAAGAAGCTAAATTGCAGACTTGCTTATGTTGACCTCATGCCAAGAAATGACTGCAAATCTTGACAAAGAGATATATAAGCTGATTGGTGCTTTCCTCTTTAAACTGAAT